CACTGGAGCTGCTTTAGCTGTCAGCTTGCTAAGAGGCTAAGGGCCCGTCTTAGCTCCAGCTCTCTGCCTGTAACCAGGTTGGGTTGAGACAACGAGAGAGATAATATAATCATGAATGCTGCAAGTGCATTCAGCTCAGTATTATACAGAGACGTGCACGGTAACTTAATTTCAAATTTCTGCACTCTGAGCTGCGTGACCCGCTGCCCCACCCCTATATGGTGACTCCCTCTTCTCTGCATTAGTGATTACAGTTGTTTGTGTCGTATTTAGTATTTTGTTTCCAGTAATGTTCACCCATCTTCTATTGAATCATATTATGACTATAGTCTCTCAGGATGTATTGTGGCAGATGCTCTTCTTTGGTAAATTAAAACTACAAGATCTGAATTGGACACACATTTACAGGTTAAGTAAAACAGAAGCTTAGTCCAAAGTTCTTGCAGTTATGTTGTTCCAAATTGCTACTTAACGTACTTTCAGGCAGACAGCTGTTCATTTGTATGGTATAGTAAGTACGTTTTCTCTGTCTTTGGGGAACAAATGGGTTGGATATTTCCCTAGACACACACTGATTCAGGTTTGGGGCGCTGTTGGCGCAGTGGTTGGTGCGAGCGCCCCGTGTGTGGAGGCCGTGGTCCGGCCTGTGGCTCCTTTCCCGCATGTCGTTCCCTACTCTCTCTCCCTGATTTCCAACTCTATCCACTGTCCTATCTCTCCATTAGAGGGACAAAAAGCCCAAAAAGAAATATTTAAAAAACAAAACAAAAACAAAAACTGATTCAGGTTTAAACTAAAGGTTTTTGGTTCTGACCCAAAAAACATTTAGTTTAAGAAGAATGTGTGATTTTCTTAAGTCCTGGAGTCACATACAAACGACTGTTATGTAACTGTCCTTTTGTTTCAGGTGCAGGCGTGTGTTCTGTCTACACTTCAAACTAAAAATCAGGTTTAATTAGGCTGCGTTTTCTGTGTTCCAAAACTAAATTTAACATGCTATTCCCAAGATAAAAGCCCCTCTCCAGAGACCCCCACGTTGAAATCATATTGCATGATGCATCCAACAGAGAGGCAGAGCAACATCAAAAAACGACCAGTCTCTATGGGATGTTTTTTTTTTTTTGTTTTGATATGATGACAGCCAAGAACATTATTACACCACACTGGCAGATTTAATAAGATGAGAGAGATTTTCTCTAATGGTTGACAGAAGAATTTACACCAACAACGGTCCAGGGATTTGTTCATTTCTTTTCATCCTGTTGCAGGTGACTTTTAAGGACCCTCCCTAACATTAAAAAACAGCCAGGTTTATGTTTAGCATATGAAGTCTGAAGAAGTAATGAAAGATTAATGAAAGCCTGGGGCTGTGTGTATTATATAATCTCATCTATGGGAATGTGCAGTGTGTATCAGTTCCCTCTTCTTCAGTAGAACTCACCTCTTATTAATTAATTTCTCATTTTTTCAACCTTCCACTTGCTTCCTGTCTTTTTTTTTTCTTTTTTTTTTCCTGTCATCTTCCTTCTAATCTCTTCTCTCGTCTTTTGTCCTATGGGTCCCATCTTCCTGTTGCACACCATCTAAGACTCTTCCCTCCTCTTATAATTGTTCCCATCTCAGTCCCCATTTCCTTCCCTGCAGTCGCTCACACAGTAAAGGAAGATGGCAAAGAAGATCATCTTGATGCTCAGTAATGGGTAAAAAGAAAAGCAACAAGTTTCACGACTTTATAAACAAATCAGCATAAATAAACATCTTTCTCGTCACACTCCCTCAAGGCACTGAACTGCGCGACCGAGCTGCTCCAATCAGGAGGCTTTGTTCTGGTCATTTGACCCAAACCTTCCCTCTGCTTTACTTGGTTCGTGACAGGCGAGGTGAGTAAGAAGAAGACACAAAATGAGAGAGGAAACAAAGGTGGAGGGAAAGAAAGAGAGAGAGGCAATCAGATGGAGTGAAGGATAAAGAAGGTGAATGGAAGGAAGAGTTCCTGTGACACCATGAGAAATGAGAAGAGATGAGAGATTGAAAGGAGGGAAGGAGCTTAGCAGAGAAAAGGAGGGGAGAGAGGAATGAGCGTGTGTGGATGTGACAGAGACATCAAAGAAGAGGAAGAAAAGGGAGACAGGGAGATGGATAGGAAGCCTTTAAGAGCTGCTTGTGCATAGGAGAGGGACTAACTGAAAACTGAGAAATTAAATTAAAGACAGCTTACTTCTCCATGGGCTTTTACAGTACATCTCTCTGGAGCAGGGCATGTTCTCGGCTGCAAAATGGAGGAAATGTATCTTTTTTTGGCACATCTTGAGAGAAGAACAATTCCAAAGTGGTTTACGACACAGTTGTTTGATTTATGAACTTGCTATGATACAATAATGCTGTAATTTGTACAACATGTCTGTACAAAAGTTTGAAATTTGGTGATTATAATTTACTTAAACTAATTACTGAAGCTAACGTGTATTTTAAAGTTTTGACTGATGTCAGTTTTGTAGAAACTAGTTTAACACATGTTGATGATCATAACATGCTGTCAATGCTACTAAACATACTGACGCCATGTTTTGAAAAAGTATTTTGTTCATCTGGATTTGACACTTTTGATTCTTTGGATTCATATTTGTTTCATGTTTATGCTTCCATTTTTTTTTTTTTTTAACCAACAAATGCTCAATCAGTAACTGTGGACTGTATAAACAGTTTTGATGTCAGACTGTGATTTTAAAAATAGATTAAAAAAAATAATAATAATTTCATGCACTGAATGAATTGGATATGACGGACCATTTAGGATGCACTGGATGGATCCTTTGTTGGCCTGGGAAAGAAGGACGCATTTTCCTTGGACCACTGTGACGTAATCGGCCTTCAAATGCACTCCTCAAAGAATGCAGCCCTTAAACTGGGACATAGCCTTGAAACAAGCGGCATGTCCCTTTATAAAACCATTAAAACTTTACCCATTAGGAAAAGGGTCAACTGGACACATCATATTTTTTTTTCTTATAAAGAGCAACTTCATAATAATATAATAAAAAAAAATATATGATACATTAATGCCGACATTTCCCTTTTCTTCATCTGATGATACCGACTGATGTTCATATAATTAAAACCATTATAAGCCAATAGCCTTATGTAGAATGTTAGTCTGGAGTAAAAATATACATGCTGATGATTTCAAGACATTTTACAGCATGAGAGTTAGTCAATGAGGTAACTGTGTTAATGTAATAAAATATACTTTAATACTTTAATATTTAAATGATGAAGTATGGTTAGGGTGCTAAAAGCTGGCTATTCAGCTCCATTGCCAATCAAGTATGTTTCTTTATAATTAATATCAAGCTGATATATGGTTGTTGTTCTTTGATCTACTTGGACAAAACATGTAGTGTGGTTTTAAATCTTGTTCAAATTTCAAGCACCATCGTAAAAAACATCCTGATTATAGACTTTTCCACCACCGATGTGGATCTCGGTGTTACCAACATAATGATTATTTACCTATTAACCCCCCTCTAGTTACACATCCTAATTATACAAATTGCACAGCTGTGATTAGCAATGTCCAACTGAGCGTGTCGTGCTGTGTTCCAGCCAAGACACTTGAAAGCAGTAAATGAGCAAATTGCTGAACAGAGATGGCAACAGAAGGGCTTCCTACTGAAATGAAGGACTTTGTGATGATAAATCACGAGTCCTCGTCAATAAAATGAAAACTATTTATTGGAGGATGGTACTTGAAATCTGTACGGATTCACAGTTTTGGTAGTGTTATTAGAGTCTTGCTGTGTGGGAGTGAAAGAGATGTTAAAGTGACACAAATGGGATTTCTAGTGTGGCAATTCATATCATGGAATTTATGATTGACTTTTTCTGACTAACAAATTAGATTAGACCGTGCATCATGTTCCAGAATCATTAGTAAACAATGTATCCAAGAGCATCTGTATATTGCAAACCATACCAGTATTAAAGCTCCCTCCTATTACCATTTGTGAGTGACGTCGGTTCACAAGATGGCAAAGTGCCTCTTAGTCATTCTGAGAATAGCTCATATCTGACAGTAAACTTGCGGTCTTTGAGAAAATCTGATTTCCATGGCTTAACAGACTGCTATAGCAGACGTGGTGATGGGGTTGCAGTGCCCAAGGGCAAAGTTAAACTGTGAAAAATCTTTGTCGAACGGAGCATATTGCGTAAAATTAGAAAATAAATGATCTCACCACTGGAGGCTGATTTTTGCTCTTGCTCTATGATCAACAACACAAATTTAAGTTATTTATATCTGACTGATCAAAAACCCCAGGGCTACTTAGAAATACTGAGAAATAAAATACAGTATCCCAAACACCAGACGCAGCAAGGTCGATAATCACGGATCAAGGAGAAATGATCAAACAAAAATAGTCCAATTTCTCTTATCCTGGAGGACAGAGTTAGACTCACCAGCAAAACTGACAATATATTCATTTATGGAATGAAAGAGCATGATGGAAGGTTGTCAGGTAATCTGACAAAAAGGTCAGTCAGGAAGAAGGCGTGAGATGAAAGAGACGGTTATGAGCATGTAGCCTCAGAGAAGTGTGTGTGCGTGTGAGAGTGTGAAAGAGAAAGAGCGAGAGGAGAGAGTAATGCAAGGCGTCCTGAGACATCTCTCTGATTAAGGACTTTCAGCTGACATGGTAATTAAATATGGAGGAGCGGCATAGTTCTAACACATGCACACTCACACGCACACTCACACACACACACACACACACACACATCAACACACGCAGCTAATTCCAAAACTTCACGCTCTGGTTAACCGTATAAACTTTAGCATGAAGAGGTCATGTGCTCATGAAGAATTGTCACTTCAATACATACATATATAGACACAAAGTCATTATTTACATCATGATTAAAATACAAATATGCAAGAAATGTATATGTCGTGTATAGCAGTAGAGATTATCAGTCATATACATGCATGCACACGCTGCCTTTACCTCTACAAAGATGAAACATGGTATGATGGAGTAGCTGCGCAGGGTGTTGTTGGACGCCATCTTGTCTCCTGTCAGGAGACGTCTCCTCTCAAGAATCACAGCAGCTCACTCTGCAAAGATGAGAACATGACGTGTTAGCATTCATTATCTGAAAATGACTAAACTGCACCAAGGCTAAACAGTGTGTTTAGGATTTCTTGGTGACCTGTAGTATTTACGAGAACAGCTCTCTGGTTGTATATACACATAGAAATGTTTTCTTGCCGGCAATCATACCTGATGAAGGTCAGTTAGGCCGAAATGTTGTATGATCAAATAAATGTATCAGCATAAAGTCAAACAGTGTGCGGCGGCCTTTCTCATTGTCTTCGAGATCAGCTTTTTAAAATGACCTGGTGATCAGATCTGGTGTCTCTTCAGTCATAGGTTATAACATTGTGAAGACCAAATGACAGTTTATTTTAAATCTTAAATGTCTGTCCAAATTAAAAAAATAAATTAAGTTCAGACTGAGGCTGCACATTAAATTAAACTTTATCATCGTTGGTATATGAACACATTAGGAATAGGAACCAGCCTCTTTGTCTTCTATGTCATTGTTTTGATTGAGAGCCCCCTGGCGGAATTTACATACTGTGCGTTTAAAGAGCCCATATTATGCCCTTTTTGGGGTTGGTATATTTAATCTATGTACCTACTTTTGTACGTTCACAATAGCTAAAGTTAGAAAAAAGTGTCTGTTTTCATGTACTGCTCCTCCTTGCTCCCTCTTACGCTCTGAATCCGTCAGCTGCACTCTGTTGAGCCCACACTGTTAGACCCCACGTGGGCCAAGTCTGCTCTGATTGGTCTGCCGATCCGCTGTCGTTATTGGTCAGTTGCTCAGCACGCGTCTCGGAAATTTCAACATGAGCTGCTGGGCTTGCCACAACAAGCCAATGGGCTTAGATCAGTGATCTCACACTGACAATGACACCGGACTGACAAATTTTATCGAGGGGGGCTAGAACCGAGCGTTACATGCAGCTAATGCTACAGCTAACAGGAGGAGGTAGGAGAAGCCGCGTTTCCGCGGACTTTGAATTTTTGTGCCTAAACATGCACAGGACACTTGGAAAACACACTAAAGGGCATATATAACCAGAAAAAGCATAATATGGGACCTTTAATACTTTTTAAATTCCTAATTTATGAAACGAGCCAATCTTTGTTAATCAAAATAATTCTTAGTGTTGTAATTAAATTCAAAGACGCTAAGGGGTGATTCACTGCAGGACTATAGAGTGAATGAAGGAGGGACTGGTATTGTCAAGAACATCAGGAAAATAAACTCTGTATACTTTTAGGATTATGGATTATGCTTGGAAGCACAAATAAAAACAAACCCACTAGACACACACCTGCAGAACCATATATACCTCTATGGCTTGGCAGTGAATTTTCATTCCCATGTTGATAACTACTACAGCTTTGTCACACACTTTTAGCTCCAAAGACAAACTCACATCGTTCCCCATCATCATGTAAGAGACTGTGAAAGCTAGAGAAAATATCCAATATCACTTGGCCTTTTTTTTTAAATTTTGGCATGATCAAGTGCCATCCAGTTGAAAAATGAAGCCAATGCTGTATCAGTTCCTTGAGTGTCCACTTGAGGCTGTATGCAAAAGCCTAAGAATCATTATTGACAACCCATTTTACTGGAGAATTAAACATGTTTACAGGAAGCAGTTTACTTACGCCTTTATTGGAAGAGAGTTATTTATAAACTCTTTAAGGCTTAATTTGGGGAATGGCTGATTTGACTAACAGATGGATGCATTGTAGCTGTGTGCAGGGGTGGAGCAGTGATTTTAAAAGTGCGGGTGTTCTAATGCTAGTATATTATCACCCTCTAGCAAATCAACACATTCTGTTTATTTTAATGTACAATAACTAATGTTAGCTGACACATCATACAACAAGACAAAGTTACAATAGATTATAATTAGACAGTAACTTTATGAACATCCATTGTGAGTAACCCAGTTAGCTCTAAAAACGAGATTCAAAACTGCTCTTTGTGATGCTTTTATTTTGCTTTTCTTATTGCCTCATAGCTCAGTCTCTTTATTTCCGGTCTTCATATAAAAATAAATGTGCTTTTATTTAGAAAAACTGCAAAAGGGACTTCCACTACATCGTAAAATTACGGGAGTAAATACATACAGCTAAAAGAACAACCAAGAGGAGAAAATACTGTAACCGAACAGCTACGATTGGCTTAATTGTCACTTAATAAATCTTACCTGACCAATGAAATTACGTTTCAGTGAAAGTGTGGGAGTCGCAACACCCACAACACCCACAGGTGAGACGCGCCTGGCTGTGTGCCAGGAGGTTGAGCCCCGCCTAAGCTCTACCTCTATGCCTGTTCCTTGATGGATTGAAAGTTGGGTTGAGATACCATTTTCAATGTGTTATCTCTTAGCACAGACTGTACCGGGGGTGACATTTTTTATTAGCTATCTTTTTTTTTTTTAGATTTATTTGTGAGAGTCGGGAATGACATGCGGGAAAGGACTATCGCCTCCATACATTGGGGGGCGCGCGCTCTAACCACTGCGCCACCAGCGCCCCAGCTAATCTTTTTGATTTTCTGAAGAGTAAGAGTTATTCCTACTGAGCTGACTGACGGGCAGGCTTTGCAGCTGTTTGTCAAGAGCTCCAGCTCTTTGCCTGTTAATAGGTTGACAGAAAGTTAGTTTGAGACAGCAATTCAATATGGTGACCGCCATCGATGGGCCTCATAAGTCCACTTCGGAAACCAATCGGCTTTATACAATCTATGTGCATGGTATGTGGAATGATTACTGGATATTTTTTTTTACAAATGTACTACTCATTATGCTTTCGATATTCACAAAAAGTTTGGTATTTACAGAGATTTTAGAAATGTCCTATGTGTGACCTATGTTGTAGAAAGAGAAATCTGTACCCTAGCCAACCATCCATCCATTCACACTTGAGCTGTTTATCCTATCCTCTCATTGGCAAAAGGACAAGCAGAAAAGCTAATTGACCTTTTTTCCTTTTACAAATTCCCTCTGGGAGATCACAAGAACTCCCAGAGCAGCTGAAGATTTAATCCTTCTGTTGAGTCCTGGGTCTAACCTTCAATGTCCTTCCAGTCAGTTGTGCCCACAATCCCACTAAACTGGGCGGTCTGAGTGCCAACAAAAGTGAAAAAAAAAGCAGTTCAAATGCAATTATATATTTTATGCTGCAACCAGAATATGTTTGGTACTTTTGTTGGATAAATGACTTGGTTGATTGATCACATTTCTGTCAGTCGTCCCCCTACAAGCTACAGAGTGACCCACACTGGCTAGTTCTTTGAAGCAGATATATAAAGGCATCTGTTAAAGAATAAAACAACCAAACACTTGAGTTACACTTGAGTTAAAGTATGGTTGCATATACTCTGTTTTTATACTTCTTCTGTTCTTTATTTTGTAATAGTGGATTTCTCTGTGGTTAAAGTCTAAATCTGCCCTCAAGAGATCATATTTTTTAAACATGGCTAATTTTTAAATTAAAAGCTTTATATGTGATTTTTTTAATCCAGCAGATGTCGCAAATGAGCACCAGCATGAAACCAAAACAACTTGCGCTGCATTGTTGTGTTAGCATGCTAATGCTAGCTATCTTTATTATGCTCGTATCTTCACACTGCATGTAAATTTACACAAAATGAGCGTGATCTAGAAACACAGTTGAGCAGTGAGTACAGTATGTTATTCTTCTTTTCTCTAGTCACTCAATTAAACAACTTTTATTCGCGAGGGGAGGAGTCAGCCGCCGTCCCGGCGATGTAAACAAACTGAAGATATGACTCGGAAAACATCACAGACAGTGGGACTCGGGTGTTACACCCATTATAGACAGTCATTACTCACAGAGTTATTTTCAGAGGATATACTTGATTTCTACATTTAAGTGTGAAAAATCACATATAAAGCCTTTAAAGAAGAAAAGTCATTAACAATCAGAAATCGCAAGCTGAAAAACCAGCACAACTTCTCTGTGGCTGTGAGCAACCAGCTGACTTCCACACTGATTGAACTTATCTCCGTCACACACGCTAACCCAAATAGGTTCACACAAACACACAATCTGGGGCTGCTTTCCGTTCTTTGTCTTCCTGTTTCGATGCATTTCATTATGCCTTCTAATAGTCATCAACAACAACATGCAATTTCCCCAAAGAGTTAGCTCATTAGAGAGCCCACAATCATAGAGAAGAATGAAGTGAAGACATGATGACTGAAAAATATGAAACTGCTTTTCCATTCGCTGTTCAAGCCCTGGATGACGCAGGAATAGATTGATACTCACTCATAGGATTGTTTTAAATTGCAGAGGGTCCAGGGCAGTGATGCATTTTGTAGTTTCAGTGGTTGTACATCTGGTAGGTTTTTTACGAGGTTCTGGAAATCCTGACATCGAGTATCTGCTCAGTAAATTATGATTTATTGGTATAACTTAGCAAAGCTATACCCCCTGCTGATATTCAATGCTTATAAATGTGCTATGGGGCTGTAATCGTACTTAATTCATCATTAAAAATGAATGCTATGTCCGATTAGAGCTCTCTCTACCTCTCCCCCCTCTCTCTCTCTGTGCAGTTCTGAATAATGAAAAGAGGAGTGTGAAGAGGAATGTGGAGGGGAGGAGGTTTGTAGCCGAGCCAAGTTGTAGAGAAAAGAGAGAAAAGCAGCACAGAGTTCCAAACTATTCTTTTAAAACACTTTTGAACAACCAATGCTTTTTTTCTGATCTGATTTAGATTAGATATTAATTCATTCCTTTACACTGGCATGGATTTCAGATTTACTTTATTTCTAGTCAAATGTTATTTTACATCACTACACTGTATATGGATTAAAAGTTTGCAACCTAAAAACAAGTTTAAGATGGATTTCTTCTGGTGCCACATACTTATCTAACAAGTAGCACAAAACTCAGTTAACGTCCATGACAGAAGTGAAGGGGAAAAAAGAAAAAAGAATCACATGTCAAAATCACACAAAGCTTAAAGTCCATATTGACATGTATATTGCATTTCTTTTTACTACTGATGCTGTACATTTTTCTCTGGTATCCCATTTGTCAATTGATTTTTAAAATGTCACTTGTTTGATTATTAAATGCAGCATGAATAATTAAAGAACAATCAAAACTGCAGCGCTGTAATACCAAGCAATAATAAATGACTCTTTAATCACCATCAAACAACTAAAAATAAGTGTTGCAGACAATAGTAAGTCTTCTTTCTATTTTTTGGAAGTCCCATTCTGAGAGTTATTATGAGAGCAATCTCATAATGTCCATGTGCGATAAGGATACAGTCAAAAGTCAGGTAGCTTAGCTTAGAGCAGCTACTGTAAACAGGAGTTAACAGTTAGACAGAATGACTGAAACAATCTGATCAAAAAGCCGGTAAAAATAAAGGATTTGGATTTTATCCACCCAAGGAAGTTCAAACAATAGAAACAATACAGTGGAATACTGTCCAAGCAGGTAAATGAAACAATGGCCTGAAGCAACAAACACTGGATATATCTTTAAAAGGATCTATAAAGTGTTGTATTGGGACTACATTACTTAATATCCAATGGTTTAGAGGGGGGCTATAAAATTTGATTAGAACATCCTTATCCATTTTCAGTCTGGCAAAGGTAAGCTAACTGATTGCTAGTTGAAGCCTTATAACTTATGGACAGAAATGAGACAATAATAACCCCTTAATGCTCAACAACAAACGAAACAGAATTTTATTGTTAAAAATGTTCACATCTTTTGCTTCAAAGATGATCAAGGTTATGACTGTCAACATGCAAGAGCATAAAAACCTCAACTTCAAAGTTGTAAATGCAAAGTTGAGTGTTTCAGTCCAAGAGTCTTGATAAGGAGCTGCAGGGCACTTGAAATTGTCTTTTTTTTTTAAAAGATGCTTGTTTCTTTGGAAGTATTTATGGGAGTCCACAGAAAGCTGTCCTGAACGATGTCAATTCAATTGAAGGTGAATGGTCGGATTTATCTATAAGATTAGATTGCCTGGTGTAGCAAACAACAACATGCAACATAGCTCCCAACTGTATTTCCTCTTTCAAATATTCTGTTTTTACTCATAGCTTCATAGCCAGTTGGGTTTCACCCAATGTAGCTTTGACTCTAAGAGAGTAAATCCATACATTTGTATCCTACATTTAAATCTGAGCATCATTAACCCATCTGCCCGTACTCTCTATACCTGCTATGATGTTCTTCAAATGTAGCAAAATTTTAAATTAACACTGAGTTTACAAAACACACAATGACTGTATATGACACTAATTGTTGGTGATTGGGATGGCATTGACAGTGGCAACAAGATCATCAGTCACTAATATGCTGTATCATGAGTACAAACTGCAACGTCCTTTCTGCCTATAAATTAAGTTCCACTGACTGAACCAGACACTTTCAAATTCTCTCAGAAACCAAACACTTCAATCTTACTGACTCATTGGATCCAGGCGAACAGTAATGCAAGCCGACAGCCATGCAGGCAGGTCTAATCAGTCCCTACGTGCCTGTCCAATCTCATTTAACACTCAAGTCAAGCTAATCAACCCGACATCAGATGGAAACAATCTGACCATCCATCTCCCAGCTCTTCACTTGTTGTTATACAAGGTTCAGCAAAAAGAGCCTGTTTGGTGTCCGTAAACAGAACAGAAACCAGCACTGCAAAAATCTGCAAAATAGTAAAACATATATGTGTGAATTAAGGTGACGGACCTGTAGAAAAAAAAAGGCGTAACCTGTACAACCTAGAAAATAACATTTCCTCCCCTCAAAATGAGATCAGTGCCAGCATCAAATCAATGTCCGCTTAGAAGCAGGTATAGGGACTCACTGTCCCGTTCAAGGACACTTCAGAGGGGTGGATAGCTGTCAACTGAAGTGAAAATGAGATTTTCCAGTTGATTAATAGTTCCACCTCTTAAAACAAAGTGCATTCAACCACTTAAAGGTCCTTAAATGCCCTTTCAATTGAATTGCTGAGTAAAATCATTTAAAAAAAACTCCACTTCTAGACTTTCACACAGATCCGTCTCTGTGAACATAAACAGTGTAATCTGCCTCAAGTGACTCAATGACTTTTCAGATCATGGCGGTTAGCTTAGGAAACATAAACCGCAAGGAAAGTCATGCTTGTAATGTGATAAAAGCCCCCAAAATTAAATGACTACACTAATCACATTTACACTGTAACACCGGCGCTGAGATTCCAAGATACGATTTTTAAAAACATCCTACAAACCTCAACAGAATTCAATTATTCATCATTTGTGCAGCTTGTACCACTAAACCATAATTTTATCAAGCCAGTCAAATGGAAACAGTTGAAAGAGCAAACTGTGATTCATATCTTAGTGGAAAGATTTTAAGTTGTGTGAGTATTTCTATTGAATGCATTCCAGAGATGTGCAAATCAAGAGTAACGTTTCTAATCTAGGTACGTCTAAGATTAGCTTGATGCTAATGCATTATGGATAAAGAATTTGCATGCCGTCACAGTAAATTTAACTTAAGAGACAATCTTTTTGGTGAAAAGAAGGTGAAATAGATCATTCCTAAAGGTCTGCAACATTCTGACAATATCACAACAATCTAATTTACCCTTTAAAATATACTGTGTGGCGTAATGACTTTCTATAAAGAGAGATGTGTTGTTCTTAGCTGTGTGTTAGCTGTGAAAGGGAAGCCGCTTCCTCTAGCTTCTGTAAGTTTGGCTTAGAGACTCAAACATGTTTCACACGTGTTTTATTTCGAGTGATCCCCTCCCTCTCCAACTGTCAGCCCTGCCACCACGTACGGGAAGAGAGAAGGCCTCGTCTACTCAATGAAACAGTTTCAAGTGGCACAATGACAGAGTGTCATTGCAAGAGTACAACAGAGGGAGAACCAACAACCATAACAAAGAAAAACTAAAAAAATCAAATAAACTTTGAGATGCACATTATTACTGAAGAGAGCCTTCACTTGATCTGAAACTGCTATGACAGTTGCATAGTAAGCCTTTAAGGGAACATAAGAGCAGGGCCGGAGTGGGACTCATTTTCAGCCCGGGAGTTTCATGGCTCAGACCGGCCCACTTTAGATCATACCCTTTCGCTGGAGATATACAGACTATATTTCCTTAGTACATACGTCTGAAATAGTGCACCATTCTCTACAACCCTTTGACTTAAATCGTGTATTTGATTAAAAATCAAAGCCTACAATGTTTCCCACAGGATTTTATGAGACTATGGTGGGGTACACAGAAACGCCTTGTATACATTTTTAAGTTAAATGCATCCATTCTGTGCAAAATTACAAGGCTAAATGTACTTTTTCTCTTTTAAGATTTTTGTGCTGTTGTAGGAATTAAACACAAATTGTCAAAACATAAAATCCTGAGGCTCAACCCACTGATGGAGACCCTCAGGCAGGCGACCAGGTCCACACTGAAGGTTCAGACATGGTATATGACCAGTTTATAGTTAATTGTTTTTAATAAGCAGAGCAATGAGGGTGACGTGCAGACGCACAGACAGATGAGCACTCAGAAAGACATCAGTCTGCCATGTAGTTCACATACTTTACTGGTAAACCTGAGAGCAGATGATCAATTTAACTTTTTGTTTCTTGTCTGTCCACTTAAATACGCAATGGCACGTTCCCCGACTCTCGCTCACCCGTATAGTTTTCTCTCCCGAACCCACCGTTGTCCTTAAATGCACGTTTTTGACATAATGAGAGAGAGAAGCTCTTGAAAAAAGGGGGTTTGCGCTTTGAGGGAAGGTGCACCTACAGTAATGTTTAGAGTACTAAGCAAGCTGCACAAAAAATAACTACATTTGAAGTTTTGAATGACAGACCGGACGTTGCACTGCAACAGATAAATTCAAAGAGACTTCATTTGTCTTAAAAGTCGATTGTGTGGGCGGAAAATATACCGGGGCAGCTGTTAATAGGCTATACCAGGACCCTGGACAGGTGGAAAACACTGCACAAGACACACTTCCAAAGGTAACATGTTTATAGTGAAACGCTACTTGAACTACGAGTGCAGCCTGTATGATCTATAAACTGTACCGGCCCTTCAGGCAGCCTGGCCCACCAGGAATTGTCCCGGTTCTCCCGATTAGCCACTCCGGGCCATGATAAGAGATGCTAAATTAGTTTCTTACAGTCTGTACAGTTGTGTCCCCTGACATTATTTGTTTCTTCTTATTTTGTTTCTTAATGATGGTTAGCAAATGCAGATGCAATACAGCCACTGTCTGGCATTACGACCACTCGCCAGTAAAACATAATAGAAAAATAAATATTTTTTAAGATGAGATAAAAGTTTCATTAACACTTCAAAATCCATAGATTAATGACTTTTCAAATATTTGAAAATCCTGAAAATGTAATGCTTATTTAAAAAAAAAAAATTGGAATAAGTGAAATAGAGAAAAATGTAATTCCCTTCAAGTCCAGAAATCTGTAAACAAAAATTAAAGTCAAACATGTTCGTTGTTTTTTTGTTGTTGGAG